CGTGGTTTGACGACAGGTAGAGTTCCAGGTGACCGGCGTCTGTGTACGGCGGAAAACAGGGAACTTCCAGAGTCCCAGGTGGACGGCATTCCCAGGGAGCTGAGCTGGTGTTACGGTGTCCAGGGGGCCACTGCCACAAGACCTTTCTCCTTGTGACAAAACCCTGAAAGGACGTTAGTGGCCAAATCGTGGTGTGACAGGCTGTGTAATACCATTAACCAAGACGGCAAGTGATTCAAGCGCAAAAAAGACTCCTCTCTTATGGCTGGCAGATATTATAACCGGCGTGATGCGGTGCCACTGGACTGGAAGGCATTCAGCAGACATGGGGCAGGCATTTTGGGTGTCACCTATGAGTCACTGGTGCCGTCATGTCCTCAGAGACGGCGGATGGCCTGGAGGCTCTGGCCGGCGTTTCCAAATGCTTCACGCCTCGTGTCAATTTCAATCGGCATGAAAGCCCGGCTTGTACCCGGAAATCACACCAAGCATCTCTGTGATCCTCATTGCCTTTATTAATAATTATGCTATTAGACAACTTATTATGACCTGATCAGCTAGTTTTCACACCATGGCTGTCCCTCTGTCCCTGCGCATTCATGTTCATTTGATATTAATCTGTTGTGAAACTCATCTCCAATCCATATAATAGTCATTAGAGAAGTATCTTCTGCATTAAAAATGTGAGTTAAAAAAAAAGCGGAATGTAGATGTGTTGGAGACACTATAGTGAGTGTTCATCCAGAGCACTTCAGCTCTGCATGAAACCTTCTAAGACCCAGGAGGGTCCCATTTTCTCTGTAAATCCTGGGGAGGAGTTTTGTAAACAGAGCAAAAGCTGCCATGGAGCCGCAGCTGGCTGCAGGAATGGGGGGGGGGGGGGGGGGGGGGGGGGGGGGGGGGGGGGGCTGAGCACTGGGGTGGCGAGCTCTGAGGGTTCTTGGCTCTGCTCACTTCTCCGCTGAATCAATGCATTCCGTGGGTGTCGCTGCGACAGGGCTGTCGTCCATCCACACGTCCCTCAAATGGCCCCGAGCCTCACAGCCATGTTGGAATAGATGAACAGGTGGAGTGCACAGATTCTGCCAGGCTCCCCAAGCCAGATGTGGAGGGAGGCGTCTCCTAAATAAATAACCAACCCCTACTGTGTCCGCTGTGGCTCCCTCCGACTCTATGTTTTAATATGGCCCTTTGAGCCCAAGCTTGCTTCCTCGGAGACGCAGGTCCAGATCCCGTATCCTTAATTGAGGGAAGCTACCGGGGCGATATCCTCCGCTGCCAGGCATTCTCCTGCTCCTGATTATGCCTGGTGTTTGTACTTTGGATGCTGATTTTGGTTTGGAGGTAAAATGCCAGCAAAAGCGTTTCCAAATGGTCACATGACTAATTCGAAAGTTCACGGATGAAACCTGCTTTCAAAACTTTTCCAGCTTTTGAAATTCTGCTTCCGTCGTGCTCTGCACCCAGAGACCTCTTTGTATAATAATTATTACCACATAAGTAGGCCTGCCTTACAGTGTACTGGCTACCAATATATACAGATACAGTAATTAACATTAAGTCATCAAAGAGTAACATTTTCTATTTGAGTAATAATGATTTAATGCTTTTACCCAAAGGCCGTGGACCATCTCAGACTTCTGAAGTGTTACATCTGCTCAGATATCTCTGCATTCTCCCATGAAAATGAATTACTTCCTACATCCATTGTCCCGATAGTATGTTTTTGATATGGATTGAAGGTAAGTGTTTTCACCGTTGTGGAATTTGCTCGCAGACAGTATCACGTTGTTTTCTGCCTTTGATATTTGCTCCGAGTCTGAGTCACGCATGGCCTTTTCCTCCCAGACAACGTGACACGGAGCTGCCGGACTCAGCGTGGGCCAAACCGCGGAGATCGCTGGGTTATAAATAGAGCCAATAAATGACCGTGCCGTCAGGGGCCTCTGACGGGCCACTTTGCCAAGATGCAATAAGGTAGAAGTTACAACTGAGGCAGAGCAATCAAGCGGCTGGGGATTGAAGCAGGTGCGCTGTCATTAGAGACAGCAACACGTTTTCATATGGGGGGGGGGGGGCAGCTGGGCGTATAACGGGCCAGAGAAGCATTATCAACGCAATGCTGGCAGCGTCAACACGGATAGTGACACGCTTGCTGCTGTGGATTCAGTTTGTGGAGAGCGTGAGCATGGAAGTCAACCAAAGAAGCAACCAAATAAATAAACGGCCGTGTTTTATCGCTGAACATGAGGTCCCGTCCTGCTCGGGACCTTCAGGGATATGGCCATGACACGACCCCTCCCCCCCCCCCCTCTACATGCAGCATTCTGTCACCCCAGCTGTGTGAAGATGATTCTGGAGGTTCTCCTGCTTTCCTCCCGATGCCGCCGGCTCTCGACACGATTTTCAGCTACACGCTGTATCAGGTCTGACACCATTTTCCAACAGCGGGCGGATAATCGCGCCAGAGAGGGGAGCCTGTTTGTGGGTCGCGAGGGCAGCCTGCTCACGTCTGCGCAGCCCCAGCTTGACAAAGCAGGAGCTCTTACTGCTGATGGACTTAATGAATCTGAGGAGGGAGTGAAATCCAGAGCCTGTAAATATGCACCAGATGTCTTTGAGCGTGATGCGGCACAGCTCTCAAACGAGATGAAAGGTGGCGAGGCGCACTCTGTAATGCCGGGGAGGGGGCGGGGAGCCGCGCCGGCCCCTCCCCCATCTCCATGGAGCTCTTCACACCTCTGATGACCAAAACGCTCGGCAGATGAGTCATCCTGAGAGCTCTGAGGCCCGACACACGTGAGCTCCTTCTCTAACGTCTTCTGTCACACGCGCTGGGAAGATGTCTATTTGCTCTGGTACCTGCCGGCCGATGCCTCGAGTGCCACAGCGTTAAGACCCACATACAGGCCGCTAGACCCGTGACTCCCTGTCATTCCCATGCATTCATTTTTAAATGATTCTGTAAACAATAGTAGGATTTCGTGAAAAAGCAGAACCCGCATCCAGACAGCTGCTGCTACTTCTGAAACCATTGCCCCAGCTAAACAAGAAGCACAGTTTTCCATCCACCATTTACACCTTGAGATGAATATCACTGTATATATGAAAAGTTTCACTGAAAGATGAGTCACTCATTGACTGCAGCTGTTTGGAAGCCATGTGATCCACACAGGATTAATCCATTACTAGGAGCAACATGCTGATGACTGATAAGACAAGACAGTCAGTGTAACTGTCCGGGTTTCTTTTAACAATAAGTCATGTTAGTTTGTCTGTCGGTTGTGTGTCTACCTGCTATCTGTGTGTCTGCCTGCAATCCGTGTGTCTGTCAGCTGTATGTCTGCTTGCTATCCGTATGTCTGTCAGCTGTGTGTCTGCTTGCTATCCGTGTGTCTGTCGGTTGGGTGTCTGCCTGCTCTCTGTGTGTCTGTGTGCCTATGCAGCCTGTGGTTTGCATATGGGTTTGTGGTTTGCATGCTTGATGTCTGGTGTTTTTGTGTCTGTGTCTGTATTTATGTCCATGGCTATATAGCACAGGAATGTCCTTTAACTCTTACTTTAATTATATATTGTTTTATTTTTCTTTAATGCTTAATATTGCAGTGGCAGTAGGATTAGTTTTGCACTGCAATTTATTATTGCCATGACAGTGGGATTAGTATAGTACTGTTGTTTATTTTTGCAGTGGCAGTGGGATTAGTATAGTACTGCTGTGTATTATTTCAGCAGCAATGGCAAGATTATAACACAGTAGTTTATTATTGCAGTAGGATTGGTATAGTACTGCTTTTTATTTTTGCAGTGGGATTACCATAGTATTTCTGTTCAATATTGCAATATGATTAGTTTAGCACTGCTGTCCATTATTTCAACAGGATTAGTATAGTACTGCTGTGTATTATTGCAGTAGGATTAGTATAGTACTGCGGTTTATTATTGCAGTGAGATTAGCATAGTATTTCTGCCTTTTATTGCAGTATGATTAATATTGTATTGCTGTCCATTATTGCAGCAGGATTAGCATAGTACTGCTGTTGATTATTAGTGGTGAGCTCTCGTTGTGTCTCAGTAGCTGGTTCACGATGTGTGTAAAATGATATCACCTGGTTTTGCTAGGGGGTCACATTTGAGGCCGCTGCTAATTTTCACCTGCGAAAGGCCAGGCCATGATATTTTCAGCGGAAACCATGATTTTAATTAATGAAGGGAGTGCAGGGAGACAACAAAGCGTCAGAGACCCCCCAGAGGGCTGGCTTGCCCCCCACCCCGCCTCTCCGGGTCCTCTATAATCTGTCTTCACACACCAGCAGGTGGCGGGAGGGCGCTAAGCGCATGAGCTCTCCCCGGCGTCTGGAGGAAGTGTGTCGTTAGTGATTCTGTGTCGCCGAGTGCCCCCGCATAGTCGGTGCTCAGGCTCAAACATAACGTCTGCCTCTACTGTAACACGCCGGGAATGGAGTTCATGCGTGGCAGACGTGTTATATGCAGGCCGGACAGCCGTGCTCATGTCCGCACTGCACGCATTTCAGTCCGGTGAAGATTTGAAAAATAAATGAGGCGTTTTAAGATAAGAAATACGAAAAGTTAGGCTTGAATGCCGTTGTTAGGGTGCTGTTTTAGCGCCGCTAGCGTATAACACGGGAACTGCTTTGGCATGACATCACGTCATATTACATGCTAAAATCTTGTGAGCTGAAGCTGAAGCTTGCTGTCCAGTGGTCGCTCCTCGGAATGCACCTGATCCACAGAACTCGGCTTTTCCTTTGCTTTGCGTAGTCATGGTGACGGTCCTCCTGCTTGTGTGTTTAATTAAGAAGCCGCCTTACTTTCTCAGTGCTGTCAGAACTGTCATGGTCCAGCAGGGGGTGTCCTCTCCTATACCCAGCAATGACCCAGAAATCCTCATTACCGTTTCAGCTCTTTATAACGCAGAGTGATGCTCAGTGCATAACTACACAGTAAACATGTGCAACATAAGTGAATAAAACATGCCTGTGTGACTTCCATACTTTTATTGAAGCTTATACCTTTCTGTTTTTTGTGACACGGCAGGCTGTGATAACAGTGTCCCTCCAGTTACAGTGTCATACCAAATGAGATCAGGGTCTGTTCTCATTACACTACCTATTACCCGCAGAGAAACACGAAAACCACACAGACAGAAAACCCATTTGCAATATGAAGCCTGCCAACACCAAACTTACAAGCAAGTGTCGGACTGTCGCTTGGTAATATAGTTTCTATGGTTACGGGGAGAAGGAATTGCTGAGTTTTAATAGCCTCCAATTTAAGAAAGTCTAGATCTGCTCGTAGGGCTAACAAACAGCAAACATGGTAACAGAAGCTGGGACAGGGAGGACAGCAGGACTAAACTGGGAGCCTCTCCACTGACTCTGGTTTACAAGGTTTCCTTGAACCAGCGACTCTATGTGCAATGGAATTTGGTTCAAATAAATTATGCATTATAAATGTATTTACATTTATAATAACTATTAAATTTATGAACAGACAAGTTGACTATATGATCTGGAGGGAACAGCAATGTCCAGGGGACTCCATGTGAAGCTTGATCCAGCAGGACGGCTATACTACGTGAAGCTGTATCATAGTTATGGGAGGTGCTTCTCCATAAGAAAGAGTCACAGTGCCCCCTTCTGGCTGGAGGTAATATAGTCGTCCATATATTTCAAAGCAGGTTGGTGACTTGAGAAATTCTCAGAAGCCTAAAAGTGCAAGGTGCAGTGTATTAGCTGTAAGTGGGTCACACATTTCAGCTTAACAGATGTGTACTTACAGTTTCGGTTTTCATTTATCCTAATTAAATGGTGCATATGATAAATACAATCGCTAAGTGTTAGTGGCGACCTCTTGTGTTTGCTCATATAACTGTAGCTTTATAAACCAATAAGTACGCTGCTCATCAATAACAATATCCAAGTGACCGTATAAAATTTAGCATATTCCAGATTTTTTAAAATGTTCCATCCAACACATTTAATGTACTGAAGCAGAGTATAAATGCCACTTTATGTATTTTTATTATGCTTGTTTTTTACTATATATTTATGGTTCATTCAAATATTTTAGTTTTCTGTGTGAAGGTCAGTCGCATCCTCACACCCAGCGGATAGCTAGTCAACGAACTTATCATAGTCATAAGAATCATGCTGTTTTTCTGAGGTTAAACTCTTCAGAAAAGTAGCTCACATGACAGGCACAGTAATGTGATCTGTCACTGAGTTTCAGATCACAATTGCATTTCCAGCAAAATGTAATTAAAGAAACAATGCATTTGCAGCTAAAAGTAATTACTCACTAGGCAGGAGTTTGTGTCAACCAGAGTGAAGCCCCAAGGGGGAAATACAGTGAAAGGGTTAAACGGAGTTAGAGCATGTAAGCGTAAGTAGACAATGGCACATTTTTCACACCTTTTTAAGGGGAACTCAGAGGAGCCTCCCAGTATTTTAATGGTCCTGCAATTGTGGTCTGAAGCGGCCGTACACCGGGCCCGGGTGTCTTCACCAAACGCAGACAGCGTCAGTCGCGCGCCCTTATCAGTTCTCCGTCCAACGGATACAGCATCGTTAGCTGGGCAGGAAAAGTGATAAGGACAAGCGAAGGACCACATCACGACCCGGGGTCCTGGAAGCGGCAGGGTTCTGCAAGGAGTCCAGAGGTTCCTCGCTACACCAACCCACCACGAGCTCGCTGCGCTTCTCGGGAGGTCCGGAGCTTCATGGAACGTCGGTTGAGGAATAAACCCGGCCTAAGGTGGCAGAAGAGATGTCGCTCAGCTCATCCGACTGTGGACATGCTCTCAGAAGAAGCTGTCCAAAGGAGCCAGGCTGTTCTGTACAGCAGAGCATGGTCTAGCCATGAAGGGCCTCCCCAGACTAACCTTTCACTGTCAGCCGCCGACCAACTTTGTGGACACACCCCATTGGTGAGTTTTATCCCCCTGTGGCCCCGCCTACTCCTCATGTCACCTCCCATTGGCTCATTCTCCCCTCTCACCATTCTTTACTTTCAGAGTCTATTGATTGGAGCGCCGTTTCCACCTGAGCTGCTGGTCGCCATGGAGTCAGCCAATGAGCTGGGAGACGCCCAGTGCTGCTGGGCTTTTTCAACGGCAGGAAGCTACGAGTCACGCAGGTGTGGCTGAGCAGCGCATTCCAGCACTCGCATACCTGCGTGATCCGTCCGCTCCCGGTTCCCCTGAGGGCGGCCAGCAGCCGCCTGTGCCTCTCTCACGGGACAGGCCATCCCCGTTCACAGTGCATGGGGGGGATGGCAGGACCCCAGACATCAGCACAACACAACAGCTGCGCTACACGCTGCCCATCCCGGGGTCATTCGTTAATAAGAGGCTGCGCAGAACAGAAGCCGTTACTCGAAGCAGAAAAGCAAGTTTCTCTACAGTTTCTGCATCAACTGCCTTCACACCCTCCTTAATCTATTCTTTCTGCACAACAAAGGAGCTGAAAGAGTGTTTCATGTGCACGAATAATAAAACAACATGAAATCTGTGAGCCACACTCCTTTTTAAGTGTTTTTGAGATAAATAGGAGCTTCAGCAGAATGTCGGCACCCAAAATGCATTGGGCCACTGTAGAGTGTCCTCCTGCAGGCCCTCCATCATGCCTGTAGAGGGTGCTGGCGAGGGCGGGGCAGGGCGGATCCCAGAGGCCTGCTGCCTCCTTGCGGGTAAATGAGGACAGTGGACTGGCAGGGTTCTGCACATATGCCCCTGGCAGCCGCGAGAATGCAGGATGGCAGCATTCCGGGGTCCCATCAGCCGCTATGGAGATTACGTGCAGGCAAGCCCCAGCAGAAGAGCTCTGATTCACTGCAGCCCCAGTGACTAAGCTGACTCCCTCTACCCAGAGGGCACTGTCATCCCAAAAAGGAAGAAGACGGTTAAAAAACTGTGCCACAGAAAGAGGATCCTGGGATTCTTTGAATAACGACGTTCAAACCTCTTTGCAGGGAAGATTCCTCATCAAAGATCATTTAAAGCCAACGTGAGGACCTTCTCCCTAGAACCCTCACCTCCAGCTTCTCAGATCATTAAATTGGCTGTTTCACTCATCTACACTGGGCTGTTGGGGCTGTGGTCCCTTTGCAAACTGTATTATAGCAGAGACTCCTAGAGTCTTCTTTGGACAGCCGGGTGCTGGAAGATTTCGGGGGTGGGAGCAGAATGTTTCACATCTGAGTAGCCTTTGAGCAGGGGGGGCATCAGAAGCAGGGAGGACATTAGGGAACAAGGAACAGGGAACAAGGAACAGGGAGCAGGGAACCAGGAGCAAAGAGCAGGGAACCAGGAACAAGGATCAGGGAGGCAGGAGCAGGGAGGAGGGAACCAGATGCAGAGAGTCAAAAGCAGGGAACCAGGAGCAAAGAGCAGGGAACCAGGAACAAGGAGCAGGGAGGAGGGAGCCAGGAATAGGGAGCATGAACTGGGAGAGGAGATGATGAGACATGTCCCAGAATGCTGAGGCTCCAGGCCTACCTCAGCCGCTGTGAGAGGAGAGGACAGTCTCAGGCTGGGGGCCCCTGAGGAGGGTGGGCAGGGAGCCAGGGGTGTCAAGAGAATCAACAGGCAGGGAGCCTGGGGCAGGACATGTCAGGGGAGATAAAATCACTGGTGGGTGAGCAAAAGCACACCATACACACCCAGAAATACAGAGAAAGAGAGCACAGGCATAGAGACATACACACAAACACACTGTGCGCACACACGCAGAAATACAGAGAAATAGAGCACAGACACAGAGACATACACACAAACACACTGCGCACACACACCCAGAAATACAGTGAAAGAGAGCACAGATACAGAGACATACACACAAACACACTGCGCGCACACACCCAGAAATACAGTGAAAGAGAGCACAGATACAGAGACATACACACAAACACACTGCGCGCACATGCGCAGAAATACAGTGAGAGCACAGACACAGAGACAAACACCCTGCGCGCACATGCGCAGAAATACAGTGACAGAGAGCACAGACATAGAGACATACACACAAACAAACTGTGCGCCACACACAGAAATACAGTGAAAGAGAGCACAGACACAGAGACATACACACAAACACATTGCGCGCGCACAACCAGAAATACAGTGAAAGACAGCGCAGACACAGAGACATACACATAGACACACTGCGCGCGCACACCCAGAAATACAGTGAAAGAGAGCACAGACACAGAGACATACACACAAACACACTGCGCGCACACGCGCAGAAATACAGTGAGAGCAGACACAGAGACAAACACCCTGCACGCACACGCGCAGAAATACAGTGACAGAAAGCACAGACATAGAGACATACACACAAACACACTGTGCGCACGCACAGAAATACAGTGAAAGAGAGCACAGACACAGAGACGTACACACTAACACACTGCGCACACACACGCAGAAATAATCACAAATGCTTACACCTGCTTTACTCCACCAGCCCCGTCACCCAACGTTACCTAAAAAAACTCGCAGCACACAGCTCTCTGATTCACAGTGATGGCACTTTTCAACACAATTACGTTTGGATTTGTGGCAAGAGTTTAATCCACATTTTTGTTGTATTAATTTATGAAGTCCTTTAAGGACAACGTCAAGCCCTTATTTCTATATGAACCCTTCTCTCAGCCCCATGGAAACAACCAGCAATACTTTCTTACGTAACCGTAACCATAAACTTAATCCTAAACCTAATCCTCAAATTCAAGTTTCTAAATCTAATCCTATCCCAAACCCTGAACTTAAACTCATTACTTACTAAAAACATATCTATATTAATATCAGACTGAAAATGGAATATGCAAAGACAGACAGTAACAAGCTGAATAGCATCTACAGGTGTTTATTCAAAATAATAACATGTATGCGTATAAAATGAATCATGGCGACATTTAATGCTGAGGATGCGGGTAGTGTAACCACCTAATCCATGTCAGAGGGGACACTTTGAGTTACATCAGGTTTTACAAACTACTTTAAAACTGAAAGGCTCCTGTTCTTGGCTAAATAGTTTAGTTCTTCTTGTGCTTTGACTGGTTTGTTTCCTTGATTGAAAGACTCATCCAGCTGTTTCACATTAATATAAGTGACACATGCATGATTGTAGGAGACTGACCAATCAGCACACAGCAACAATTCAGTCATGTCAGGGCAGGTTGGGGAGCATGCGCTGATGCTGTCAGGGTTAGCACCTGTTTTGTCCCAGTCTTGCGTCTTCTCCCCATTTGGCCAGCAGGTATCACTGGCCATCCTGTCTTCCCCATTGTCCTAGTCTGTAGTGTTTCCTCTGCTTCCTGTTGGCCACATGGTTCAACAAGCTGAGCATGCGGCTACCTGTGAACCCCTCTGTTTTGTCTTTGTGCCTCCTCTACACAGTACCAGTGTATCGGCCGGCCATTACGTCCAGAAACTTTGGGGGGGATCCCGCGAAGTCTCAGGATGTCCCACAGGGCAACTCGATCAACTGAGTCAAACGCTTTACGAAAATCATCAAAGGCTGCAAGTAGAGACCTGCGCGGGACGGATTTTTCAGTCCCGCTCCCGCAAGATTCTGTCCCGCTCCCGCAAAAAATATATATTATTTTTTCCCGCTCCCGCCCGCAGTATTCAAGTTTTGTCCAGCTCCCGCCCGCAAAATCCCGCAGGTAAACATATAAGGAGTTTTATTTTTACCGCTTCTTCCCGCTACTCTGTTATTTGTTTCACTTGCTTCCCTTTTGAGTATATATAAAAAAGAAACGGAAAATAAACAAATATGTTTTGTTTTATTTTAGTTTAATTAAATGGCATGATGAACATGGACACGACCGAGGAGCTTTTCAGAACATGCCATCCCGTCCAAGCACCAGGCTGATTCCTTCTTGGGGTGTCCGGTTACGTCCCCCGGCACTCAGAGCGCGGCAGTTGTATAGTTTCTGTAAACGATTCGCCTGTAAATTGTTATTTTAATTTAGTCGTTCTTGTTGCTTTTGTGCAGTAGATAAATGAGTAGGCCTATTTGTTTTTAATAAATTAATTTTAAGATAATTCCATTTTGCGGGAGTCCCGCGATTAATTCTATTCTCCTGCAACCCGCACATACATGAGGACCTTACCGCTCGCACCCGCATTCACCCATCAAATCTTGTCCCGCGCTGCACTCAGTGCGTTGGGTCCCGCGGGAGTGCAGGTCTCTAGCTGCAAGGAACCTCTGCTGATATTCATGGTATAACTCAGTGCTAAAGTGAAATCTAGGGCCTGTTAATTGAAATGGTAGTTTACAAACCCTGACCTAGCTCATGGTGGTCAGCCTAGATGAGGGTGATGATGGATACTTTATTGATCCCCATGGGGAAATTGTTTTTATGCCTCCCTCAACTTGCTCTTTGTAGAGTAAGCTGTCTGCAAAGGGCAGCCACCTGTTGTGGCACCCAGGGAGCTGGGGGTTAAGGGCTTTGCTTAAGGCCCCACAGACATACTGAGGCTGGGTTTGAACTGGCAACCTTCTGATTACAGACACACAGACTTAGCTCACTGAGCTACACACTGCCCCAAATGATAATGATGATGATGATGGTGGAGTTTCTTATAGGGCTATGTGTAAACAGAGGTGATTGGCCCTCTATGTCCACATGTACAGCTGCAGA